AGCAGGGTCAGGGGTGCAGCCCAAGGGCACCCCAGTGTGAGGGGGCTCCCCACTTTGGGCACTGGGGCTGCAGGCAGTACCTGTAGGGCAGAAGAGGAAGACCGAGGGCTGGCCCAGCTCCTGGTACACCTGGTTGGCCACAGAGGCCTGAGCCTGTGCCAGGGAGGGGAAGACATCTCTGTCAGCCTGGCACATGCAGGGGTCGATGTCGTCGAAGAGCAGCGCGAAGGAGCGGCACCCCAGGGCAGCCACCTGTGGGCACAGACAGGGGCTGCTGGGACCCCCGGGCAGCAGAGACCCTCAGGGGGCTCCACAGGGGCATCTGGGCATGGCACAGCACGGGGCAGCTCCTGCCAAGGGAGTGGCAGCTGCACATGGAGCCACCCCACCATGCCAGCAGCTCTGTGCCCGCCCTGGGGAGCCAGGGCTCTGTGCCACCCTCAGCGCTGCCCAGCAGGTTCTGGGGCTTGGCTGCTCCTTCTCCTGCACCCATGGAGCCCTTAGCTCTCTGTCACAGTGACAGGGACAGCACACTGGCCACTGGGCAGCCCAGAGCAGCAGGAAGGGTTCACACCCCCATAGCAGCCTATGGGGTGGGCACAGGGGGCACACATGGGGACCCATAAACACGTCTGAGTGGGCGCAGGGGGTGTCACAGACATCTTTTATGAAAAATCCTTTCCTTAGGATTTTTCCTCCTGAGAAGCTGAGAGGCCTCAGGAACATGAGGCAAATGTAAACAAAATGTAAACAATGGTTATATGCTGCTGTGGAATGCAACAGGCGCATCTGTGATTGGCCCATGTTGGTTGTTTCTAATTAATGGCCAATCACAGTCAGCTGTCTTGGACAAAGAGTCTGAGACAGAAGCCTTTATCATTCTTTCCTGTTCTATTCTTAGCCAGCCTTCTGATGAAATCCTTTCTTCTATTCTTTTAGTATAGTTTTAATGTAATATATATCATAAAATAATAAATCAGCCTTCTGAAACATGGAGTCAGATCCTCTTCTCTTCCCTCATCCTAAGACCCCTGTGAACACCGTCACACATGGGCACGCATGGGCATGGGTGGGTGGGCACAGGGGGCACACATAGCACGTGTGCCCCTGGCCTGGGAGCAGTGGGATGAAGGAATGGCCCACGGTACCTGCCTGAGTTTTTGCTGCAGCAGGAGGCGATCCCCAGCGCTGGAAAACACCATGTCCTGGCCGGCAGAAATGGCGAAAATAAACTCCACGCCCCGTTCCTGGGCAGCCCCGATGAGAGATTGCATGCGGGCTGGGGACAGAGCACAGGGGAACTGTGAGAGCTGGGAGAGACAGGGGACAGGGATGGGGTGGGGGGATGAGGGATGGAGGGGGGAAAAGGATGGAGGAGAGTAAGAGATGGAGGGGAATAAGGGATGGAAGGGGATGAAGGATAGAGCAGGACAAGGGGTGGAGGGGAACAAGGAATGGAGAGAGAAAAGGGATGGACAAAGGATGGAGGGGGATAAGGGGTGGAGGGGAAAGAATGATGGAGCAGGACCGAGGAATGTAATGGAACAAGAGATGGAGGGGAATAAGGGGTGGAGGAGGACAAGGGATGGAGGGGAATGAAGGATGGAATGGGACAAGGGATGAAGGGGAATAAGGGGTGGAATAGGACAAGGGATGGAGGGGAATAAGGGTTGGAGACGGAAAAGGGATGGAAGGGGAAAAAGGATGGAGCAGGACCAAGGGATGGAATGGAACAAGGGATGGAGGGGCATAAGGGATGAAGGGGAATAAACGATGGATGAGGACAAAGGATAAGGAGAATAAGGGATGGAGGGGGACAAAGGATGGAAGGGGAGAAGGGATGGAGAGGGAAAAGGGATAGAAGGGAAAAAGGATGGAGCAGGACCAAGGGATGAAATTGAACAAGGAATGGAGGGGAATAAGGGGTGGAGGAGGACAAGGGGCAGAGGGAGAAAAGGGATCAAGTAGGAAAGGGATGAAGGGGGACAGGGGATGGAGCAAGACAAAGGATGGAGCAGAACCAAGGGATGAAATTGAACAAGGAATGGAGGAGAATAAGGGGTGGAGAGGGACAAAGGATGGAGGGGAATAAGGAATGGAATAGGACAAGAAATGCAGGGGAATAAGGAATGGAGGGGGAAAAGGGATGGAAGGGAATAAGGGATGGAGGGGGACAAAGGATGGAGCAGGAGCAAGGGATGGAATAGGACAAGGGATGGAGGGAAATAAGGGATGGAAAGAGAAAAAGGACTGAGCAGGACAAGGGATGGAAGGGGCAGGGGTGGGGGGAGAGTGAACCCCAGGATTGTGAAAAGAAGGACCTGAGGTCACTGGGAGGGGAGAGGCTCCAGGAGGACCATTCCCACTCTCTTATGACACAGAGGAGTTTTGGCAAGGGTCTGTGGGCCTGGCTGTGCTCAAGCACATTGCCTGAGACCCACATGGGAGGCTGGCTGCTCCCTTAGGCAATTCCCCATGATGGGCACACTCTGGGAATCTTCTTGCCCTTGGCAAGGTCTGGGGGCCTGCCTGGCATGGGCAAGGTCCTGGCAGGATGGAAACAGCTGTGCCACAGCCCATGCTTTCCCCTGAGGGGCCCAGCAGAGCCGGTACCTGCCTCATGCTCTGTGTAGGGCTCTCTCCAGAGCAGCCGGTGCTTCAGCTCATCCTTGGGTGCATACATGTAGCAGTTCAGCCCCCGCTGCTGCAGCCTGGGCAGGGAGAGAAAGGAGTCAGCCAGGCTCCCCACGGGCTCTTTGCACAGCCACAGGGAGACTGAGAGCTCAGCCAGTGCTCCAGTGCTGAGCTCTGATGTTGGAACCCAGGAAATTCCTCTGGCTGCCCTGGAGGGCTCCAGCCCCTGCCCAGGGGGCTCAGAGACCTTGGCACAGAGCCCAGGACCCCTGTGCCTTTGATTTAGCCCTTGGAAAAAACAATTACCAATGTTATATGAAGAATTACCAGCCAATAAAGTTTAAGTAGAATGATAGTGAATTTATCACAGGGTGAAAAATAGATTTTTGGGGTTTTTAGAATGGGGTTCAAGAGGCAAGATGGAGGGATCTGGGCATGTCCAGCCTTTCTCCTTCTTCTTCTTGGCCTCCATCTTCTGCTGTGATGGTGGCACTTTTAGATTGGTTTAGAGTAGAAGTGCACTGTCTAACATAGGTGATGGGTATTGGGAAGTTATGGTAAATACTGTACAGGTAGTTTTTAGTATAAAAAGATAACACTGCCTCTGAGGTGGGGAGAGTGCCTCTGACTGTCTTGCTGAACAGACCTCAGCAGGACAAGAAAAATAATTTTATAGATAAGAAACAATAAACAACCTTGAGATCAAGAAATGAAGAGTTCTGCCTCCTTCTTCGACCACCAGGCTGGGAAAAGAGACTTTCTAACTCATCTTGTGGTCACTCTGAGCAGCAAAAGTCCTGAGACTGTAAGGTTGGTGTCAGACACCAGCAGGATGTGCCCCCTGGGAGGGCAGACCCCTCCCTCTTTTGGCACTTCTGCATGGAAGCCATCTGATATATTCATTTGGTTTTATTTGTCCTCCTCAGCAAATAATGTTTTACGTTTTCCCACAGTGAACAGAGTAGAAAGCACTGCAGGTATTTCCTGATGAAAGTCCCTTATTTTGTTTCTTTCTAGGTAAGAAAAATACCAATGGACATGCCACCCTCATGTGCCACATTGAACACATCCCAGTGCAGCACCAGGCAAGAACTTTTCATTCCTGAAGTGCTTTAGAACATCCCAGCTTGTTTTCCTTCAATTTTCTGTATCTCAGGGAGCTGGGGGTGCCCAGCCTGGAGAAAAGGAGATTCAGGGGTGCCCCCATCGCTCTGCACAGCTCCTGAAAGGTGCCTGTGCTCAGCTGGGGCTGGGCTCTGTCTCCAGCAGCACTGACACAGCCAGAGCACACAGCCTCGAGCTGCACCAAGGGAAATACAGGTTGGAGAGCAGGGAAAAGTTTTTTACAGAAAGGGTGATAAAGTTCTGGAATGTTCTGCCTGGTTGGTGGTGGAGTCCCCATCCCTGGGTGTGTTTAACAAAGCCTGGATGTGCCAGGGTTTAGCTGAGGTGTTGGGGCTGGGTTGGATTGGATGATCTTGGAGGTCTCTTCCAGCCTGGTCACTCTGTGAATTCTGTGAATTCTGTCTCTTCAGAATTCTGTCCTCTGCTCCTTAATTACATTGTCACTGCCCACACTGTCACCTCTTTTTTATTCATTTCCCAGCCATATTTCCCTCGCTCTTTCCCTATTAGTTGAGGTGCTTGAGAGGTGCAGAGTTCCTGTATCACCTAATACAGACCCCCTGCTTCCAATGTGCATTCCCCCCTCTCCTCTTTATCTTTGTCTCTGCTCTTTTTCACCAAATCCAGGAATTTAGCACGGCCTTGGGTGAGCAAGTGTGTGTGTCTTTTTGTGGTTTTTCTGTGGTTTTTTTTTTTCTTCTTTTTTTTTTTTGTTTTTTTTTTTTTCAAATATCAGTATCTGGGTTTATCTACCTGCAGGCATTCCTCCCCTTCCTTCTTTTTTTTTGTGTCTCTGTTCTTTTTCTCCAAGCCCAGAATTTAGCACAGCCTTGGGTGAGTCTGTGTCAATTAATGAAATTTCTATGGAATTGATGGTTACTCCTATTGCTTTTTCAATTATCAATATTTGGGTTTATCTACCAGGCATTCCCCCCTCCCATTTTTTTTCTTTGTGTCTCTGTTCTTTTCCTCCAAATCCAGAAATTTAGCACAGCCTTGGGTGAGCAACAGTCTGTGTCAATTAGTGGAATCCCTATGGAATTTATGGTTACTCCTATTGCTTTTTACTGATTTTTTTTTGTTCAAATACCAGTATCTGGGTTTATCTACCTGCAGCCCCACAGTTTGTTTGTAAAGCCACCTCCCTATCATTCCTTTCATTAGTACAGACAAGCTCTGAGTCCTAATTGCTAATCCTAATCATTGGATGGCAGAATAATTCATCATTCCCACGAAGGACCTGTCTTTTAATCCTGGAGAAATGCGACTCTAGCCTGTGTTTTGTCTATTTCTGGTCTTCTCATCTGCATCATGTCCCATGCAGGGATGTGCGGAGCCCCAGCACCACCTGCTGGCCCCTTGTCCGTCTGTCCGTCCGAGAGCGCCGGGACAGGGGGACACTGCAATAATGAGGTCCCTTGGCTGCCACCCCCACCTTCAGAGAGGAAAATTCAGGGTACTTGCCATTGAAAGAGAAGTTTCCTCTGATCCATTGACCAGGGTCTCCCATAGAAACCTGGAAAAGGGAGGGAAAAAAGGCAAAATGCAGTAAGAGCCTGAACGAGGGATGTGGGACTCCAGCTCTCCAAAATGCAATTTATTACATCCAGGGTCATGGGTGACAGAGCTGTGCCTACAGCTGTCAGCTCCAGCTGCAGGCAGGCCTGCAGACCCTGAGTTTAGGTTACAATGCATTATAGCCTTTTCTTTTAGTTACAGTGCATTCTATACTTTTTTTTTTTGTTGTTACTGTGCATTCTATACTTTGCTTTGCTGAGCATCTTCATACAGTAGAACCAATCTATACCTTAACTTTTATCTCTAGCCTATCATAACTACTGTAATTATCATATTCATGTTACTGTTCTCCAATCACTAAAAGTTAGTGGATTACAGTTTAAGCCAGAAGATTAAGTGAGAAGTTTTTCAGTTTTCTTGCAGTAGAAAATTATGAAACCTTTTTTCTACTTGCACCATTTGCTGCCTTGTTTGCCTGTGCTCTTTTTCTGCTTGGTAAAAACATCTTCTTGTTTGGGGTGGGTTTATCCTTTGCTCTAAGCCATAAAAACCCCTTCTAACTAACACACCCTTTGCCTCCTTGGTTATCCAGCGACACTGGCTCAGCAATTCTTTTCTTCTGTATCAAAACTTGCTTCCATCTCTATTCCTTCATCAGACTCTACATTTAAAAATCTTTCTGCTAAACACACATATCTGTGAGACTTTTTTGTCAAACTTTCATCTTTCCCAACATTGAAGTTTTTGGAAAGTGCCTCAGGAGTTTCTCTGGTCTATCCCTGAATTCCAGACTTGCAGCACCCATTCTGCCTTTGGGATCACTTCCAGGGAAGGACCCTTCCTATTTCTGCATATAAGAAAATCTGGGAGGTGCAGAGCTGCCTGCAAAGCCAGGGAGAAAGGACATCCAGAGGAACACAAGCCCCTTCCCCTGGGACAGGCTGATAAATGGGTTTGGAGAAATGCAGATTTGACAGCTCCTCAAAGTGGAGGTTAAAGGGAACCTGTCAGAGTCGCAGCACAGAGCTGAGATTTAGCAAGAGAAGAACCTTCAGCCATTTAAATTATCTTCAAGATCTGGCAGATGCAAGGTGAAGTCCCACAGAAAATCCATTATGTCTTGGACAGTGAGGAGAATTGGCCATCAAGGTATCTCCCTGCTTTCTCTCTGCATTGTGGGCAACTTCTGAATCAATCACTGCAGTTTCCAGCAGTCAGGGCCAAGGGCAGCAGATACTGGGAAGTGACAGCATTCCCAAAAGTGGGTGGTGCACAGGGGCAGGTTGCACTGACTCCATCAAGCTGGGAGGAAGGGCCAGCTCTCCATGAGGCCAGTGTCACCTGCATTTCCCAAATCAGTGTCCCAAAGCTCACCTGCCCTCATTCCCTTGGCTCCCTTGGGCAGGAGCCCGCCCTGCAGCAGCCCTGGGCAATGCTGAGGGGGTTGGCACACAGCAACACCCACTCTCCATCTGTCCTCTCTCTGCAGACACATTTTCTACCTGCCTCAACACCTACATGGTTATTCCATATATTTTGAAATAATATAAGATCACTTTGCTGTCCACTCCCCACCGTGCACAGGGTCAAATTTGTGGCCTCAAGAGATTCACAGCAAACATTTCACCCAAAAAAAGTTATTTCTGTGGTAAATAATTTGCTATTTTGAGATCCCAGCGAGGTCCCTGTATGGCCCCTGCAAGTGACACTTCCACAGCACGTGGGCTGCCAAGGAGGCCACTCAGCAGAGTTCTCCTGGAATGGATTTACCAGCATCATCCCTGTCCTCCTTCCCAGGTCAGCTCTACTACACCAGTGATTCACGTCTGAATCATGCCAGCCTCCCCACCCCTGCATTTCCTGTTTGTTTTCCATCCATTTGCACGGTGCTGCTGCTCCCTCAGGTGGGGCAGAGGGCAGTGCCCGTCCCAGGGGTGCTGTGCTGCCAGCAGGAGGGCAGAGGGATCTGCCAGCTCCACAGGGAGCTGGGCATGTGGGCAGGGAGAACACAGAGCTCTCCCTGGCCAGCTCTGGGCACGGCTGCCCCATGGGCAGGGTGGGCACACAGGGAAGCGCCCCTGGTTCCAGGGCAGCCAAGAGCCCCGTGTGGAGCTCTGGGGCCGAGCAGAGGCTCCCTGAGCCCCTCTGGCTGTGCTGGGGTGGGTGCAGGGTGAGCTGGGGCAGTGCTGGTGCAGCCCCCTGGCAGAGATGGGGCTCTGTGCAAGGACCCCATTCCCACCTCCCCCCCAGCCTGGGGCCCTTCTCGACCCCGCTTCCCTTCGGGGGAACGCCCGGGCGGGCCAGGCAGCGGCCCCGCAGGGACAGACCTACCTTCCACCACGCCGCAGAGGAAGCGCGGCCGCTCCGCCATCCCCCGCAGGAGCGGCACCGGCGGCCGGGGATGGGCGCAGGGTGCGGGGACGGATGGAGGAGGGATGGAGGAGGGATGGAGGAATATGAGGAGGAGTGCTCGGAGGGACGGAGTGATGGAGGAGGGACGGAGAAGTGCGCGGAGAGTGGAGGAGTGAGCAGAGGGATGGAGGAATGCGCGGAGGGATGCTCGGAGAGATGCGCGGAGGAGCAGAGGAGTGCTTGGGAGATGGATGGAGAGGGAGCGGGGGTTGAAGGAGTGCGCGGAAGGATGCGCGGGAGGGGATGGCAGGTGCGCAGGGGGATGGAAGGATGCGCGGGAGGGGATGGAATGTTTGCTGTGGGATGCAGAGCTCGCGGGAGGGGACGGAAGGATGCTCGGAGGGGATGGAATGTTCGCTGGGGAATGCGGGAGGGATGGAATGTTCGCTGGGGGATGCAGCGCTGACGGGAGGGGACGGACGGATGCGCGCAGAGCTCCGCGCAGGGGCGGCTCCACCGCCCGCCCCCCCCCGGGCCGCGCTCGCCGCAGCGCAGGGGGCGGCTCCGCGGGTGGGGCCGGGGGGCGGAGCCGGGGGGGATCCCCAAAATCCCTGCGGAGCCCCTGGGAGGCGATGGTTGAGCCCCTGCCGCTCCCGGTTACCGGGGCCCCGCCCGGTGCCCAGGGCAGCCCTGGTGCCCAATGTCCCCAACCGCGGGGTCCTCCCGGTGCAACAATTCCTTCTCCCGCCTCCAAAGCTCCCCGGGAGCCCACAGCCCCAGAGCTGATCCCGAGGGGTAGATGTCATCATCTTCCTGTGCTCACCACCGAGCTGGCACCTGCTCTGGCACATTCTGATGCCAGCTCCGTGCCACCGGGCCGGCCCGTGTGCCCTGCAGGTGGCTCAGCTGTGCCAGGCTGTTTGCCTTGTGCCCCCTGAGCTCGTCTGGCCCGCGGTTGTGTCTGTCCCACGGGCAGACGTGCTCCCTGTAGAGCCCAGCCTACACACGGGCCGGGCTGTCTGACACCACCACGTCATTCTGTTCCTTCTCAGAGCACTGGGTCTGTTCTGTTCCAGACCACTGACATCAGTTTCAGAGCACTGATGTCATTATCCTGCCCGGGTTTGTGGTCTGATCTTTCATCTGCCTTGCACACTCTGCTGTTGTATTGCTGTGGTTACACCCCACGGCTGTTTCTGACACATTGCTCTCATCTCAGCCTGGGTGATCTTTACTTTTCGTGCCTCCAATTCTCCTCTCCATCCTGCCTCGGGGGAGGGTGGGGCTGTGAGCAATTGCTCTGGGATGTTTCAATGTGAGCATTTAATTGGGGAATGTCATTCCTAAACCGGGGCACCAGCACAATTCCGTCACCGTGCAAATGTGAGGGGTGAAGCCAGGACAGAGCAGAGCACTGCATCCATCCAGGCACTGCAAATCTCCACACCTGCAGCTGTCTCGTCAAAACCACAGGTGCAGAAATGGGCATCAGAGCCTGGAAAGCCAGGATCTGTGACTTCTCCCTCCTCCCTTTGCAGGTTTATGTTGTGTTAGGAAATCAAGTCATGGTTGATTTGATGGCTGAGCCATCAAAGCAGCAAGAAGCCCAAGAGTGCCTGACCAGCAGTGAGCTGGCAGGGTCCCAGTGCCATCAGAGTGCCACCAGGCTGGCTCATCCACGCTGGGATGTGCTGGGCACAAGGTTTGTCCTTGTTCTTTGCCTCACAGCCTCACCTGGCCCCGGCTGGACTCAGGCCTGGCCCTGCAGGAGGCTCCTGGGGCCGGCTGGAGTGGGCAGCAGGGACAGGGACAGTACTGGGAGCAGCCCAGGGTCCCTGGAGGGACATGGCATGAGATATGGATGGCATTGATCTGTCCACAAAGACAGTCAGAGAATGACATCCTGCAGGGCTGTGCATACACAGCTCTTTGCTGTGATTCTTTGCTTTCTCTGCTCTCTCTGTGAGCACCTGGCTATTCCATGATTTTCTTGGACCATGAGCTTGAGGAAAGCAGCCTCTAGTCCTCCACTTCATTTTTTCTCCTTTTGCCTGTCCTGTGAAACTTCACCTATCCCCTTGTCCACTCCCCATATTTCCCTCTGTGAAAAATGCATATTTTATGATTCGCTTTTTGCAAATATTAAAATGAATATTCTATGTGTTATGTTAGAAAGTTATGCTGTGTTAGTTTGCTTAAGTAGTGTGTTAAACATAGTTTGAGGTTATAACATAGTGTTAAGAGAGAGAGTATGCTCTGTAAGATACTTTTTTTTAAGAGAGGAATGAGGAACTTGCACTGAGATAGCAGCCACAGCACACCTGAATCTTTCAGAGAAAGAGAATTAATTGCTCCATTATCAGGAGAAACGAACTTCTTCCTGCCTCACTCAGCCCTGAAGAGCTGTCAGGATTCAGAGGAAGAAGTTGACACTGACGAGACAGAATCCTGTGTTGGAATGGAATTGATGCATCACTAATGAGGTGTATGAATATGCAACAGGCTGTTGCTTTTAAGGATTAATCCTCTGTTAAC